AGGAATGCCACCTGAAAGCTGATTATCTGCCAAATCCAACACACTCATTTTATGACAGTTCCCAAGTGTGGGGGGAATGACACCCTCAAGCTCATTCTGCCTGAGGTGCAAAAAGTTCAAATCTTTCAGCCTCCCAATGGTGAAGGGAATTTCCCCACTGAAATAGTTTCCATAGAAATCAACCATTTGCAAGCTTGAGCAGTTTCCAATCTCCAAAGGAATCTTCCCTGACAACATATTATCGTAAAGAAACAGTATCTCCAATTTCCCCAGCCTCCCAATCTCTCTGGGAAGACCACCCTGCAACCTGTTGTGAAACAATGCAAGAGTCTGCATGTTAGTGAGGTTCCCTATGAAAGGAGAGATTGAACCAACCAAGGTGTTATTGTGAAGCAAGAGACTAATTAGCCCCACCAACCCATAAACCTCATTAGGTATTGACCCACTGAGAGAATTGTTTGACAAATCAAGTTGCTTCAGTGATTGGCACTGACCCAACTCAGCTGGTATCTCACCATGAAGTCCACTCTCTGCTATCATCAAGCTCAACAAATTTGTTGCATTGGAACATATGGTTCTTGGAATGGTCCCATGTAGTTTGTTCTCAGAGAGAACCAAGAATTGTAACTCACCCATGTTCCCTAACTCCTTTGGAATTTCCCCACTCAGTATATTCTTTGACAAGTCAAGATTTTGAAGGTTAACCAATTGAGCCAAAGACGGTGGAATACTACCCTCGAGCCGGTTCCCCACGAAATTAAGATATCTAAGCTGACTCAGCGCACCAAGTTGACTCGGAATCGACCCGGATAAGCTGTTGTTGGCAAGGTTCAGAGTTTGAAGTTTTCCGAGTTGACTCAGCTCACTCGGGATTGAGTCGTTGAGTCTGTTGCCAGCAACAGCGAAGACTATAAGGCTCGAGCAGTTCCCCAATTCAGACGGAATCCGACCAGTCAACTCGTTATCCTGCAGGATCAGATATTCCAACTCACTGAGTCGACCGAGTTGGGGTGGAATTGACCCATTGAGTCTGCATGAGGCTAAGCCAAGGCTCACAAGGTTGACCAGATTCCCCAGTGACGCGGGAATCGTGCCAGTGAGTCCATTGTCACCGATTCGCAAAACTCGGAGATTCAGAAGCGAGTCGAACTCGGTGGGGATAGGGCCTGTGAGTTGGTTGGAGTAGAGAAAGAGAGATTCCAATGAAGAGAGGTTGGAGAGGGTAGGTGGAATGGGACCCTCGAGTCGGTTATTAGAGAGATCAAGGTGGAGCAGGTTTTGCAAACGACCGAGTGATGGTGATATTGACCCACTGAGTGATGACTCGGACAGGTTGAGTCCCACCACTACTTGCACCGAGTCATCATTATCCAAAGGTTTGGATTCTAACTCCAACTCTAACATCTTCTTTGAACCACATGACACTCCTCTCCAACTACAGTAATCTGTGTTGTTCTCTGACCAATCCCTTAAAACATTTTCTGGGTCTTCAGTGAACGAAGATTTCACCTCCAAAAGCACTCTCATAGTACTTTCATTGCCATGGCATAGAAGTGCACAAGAAAATATCAAAAGGAGCACAATTGCATGTGTTGAAATCCTCATTGTTGCTTCGTTCATTTGGGGTGTGATCAGTGATTGAGTATTGAGGGAGTGAGGTGTGAGGGTTACTTACAACTTTCAATAGTTGTCAACAAAGAGACAGATGAAAATTAATGGTGTTAATTGGTTGCAGGTTGAAGCGGTGGTGGTTGTTCTTGGATTGCGAGAACGTGTTTAGAAGAAACGAAAAAGGTTCATGTGAAGGAACACTGAATGGGGAAGCTACTATGGGCTATCCTTTCGGTTTCACATGTTCTCTGGAAATGTGTATGTGTAAGCAAGTTGATAAGTTGATCATCATCATCATGCATGGCATGGTTTTGTCAAAGCATATCAATGACTATAAATGAAAATGCAACTGTGTCAGTCACCGGCGATAGTTGCCAATAGCCATTAAGGCATTAACGTTACTCATTAAATGTAGATAAGAGATGAACTGAATGCTGAAAGTCAAACTGGGGGTTGAAAAAAGCATTGGAAATATATATATTAAAAAAAGGAGGAAATAAATGAACCAATAAAGTACCATTAAGATTTTGTGATGTGAGACAACAGAAGCTATCAGAGACTAAGAAAAGAAAAAAGAATACGTGAAGTCATGAAGATATGGGGTTAGAGAAGAAGGGTGATATAGTGGTTGGGTGAACCGATATAGGGAAAATATTGGTGGATTTTGCTTGGTTTCTTACTGAACAGAAACAAGAACCGTATTGAGAAAGTGAGCGGTTGAATTTCCGTTTCAAAACTTGTGTGTTTGAGTTTAGTGATTTTGGAGTTATGCATTTGTACTTTGCAAATGCTGTGTGAAGTCAATGGAGTCCTCAGAAACAGAAAGCATTTGTCATATCGTACGTAAGCCACGTAGGTTGTTCAATATTTGTCTTGTGTGATTTCTGAAGCAACGCGTATGCGCAACAGATGAAACACAGTAGTAGCAGATGCAAGAAGAGTTGTGTGTGCATGGCTATAAAAGGAGGGTATATTTGGTTTTGAAATTCCTATATTTAATGTTTTCTTGTAAAGGTTAATGGTTTGATCTACCTAACCAAGATGTCGTTTTGCAGCGTTTCGTCTCTCTGATTGATTGGTTGCACACGGTTTGCAGTAAACCCTGTGGGCAACTCCAAAAGCTCTGTCTTTTTTTCGTTTTGCCCGCTCAATTATGTTTCTGTTGGCCCAATTAACTGGTCCAATAAAGATTTTTATTACGTAAACTCATTAGATTTTATATTTATTCCAAAACTATTATTAATATTTTACAATTTTCATTAATTATTTTTTTACATATATTCCTATTTAAAATGATTTGAGTTGGGGCCAATTTGTTTATATTTTAAAAGATATGTTGTTTGTTGTTGTTGAAAATTAGATTTGGATCAATAAGTAATCTATAATTCTAGTCTTACAATTTTTAATTTCACAATAATTTTTTATTTTTTTTGTAAAATTTACAATTTTGATATAATTGCTAAATGTTCATTTGTTAATGGTTAAAATCGTAATGTCTATTATAACTTGACATTAAATATATGATATAATAATTAATATTTAGTAATATTTAAAATAAATTTTACTTTTATTGATCCTCCTTTTTACCTACATAAAAATGATACAAGAGATAAAAATAAAATAAAAATGAGATTAAAAATATAATTTAAAATAAATATTATTAAATATCAATTATCCTATCATTTATTTAATATCAAATTATATCTAAATATTATAATTTTGACAATTAATAGATAAATGGTTAAAATTTATACCAAAATTGTGAATTTTACAAAATGGAGCTAAAATAATTTTTTACTCTATTTTAAAATATTTTTACACTTATTTTTGAAATCAAGATAAATAGATTTGTGAAATTAGTTTGGGTTAAATATGTTTTAATTTTTTACAAAATTAAAATTTTTTTGATTTGGTATTATAATATTTTATTTATTTATTTTTTATCTCTATAAAATTTGAAACTACCATTTTTAATTTCTACTATTATGAGATCATTTTTAATTATTTAGTTTTTATTATTAGAATGTTAAGTAATCCTAAATGTTATTTAGGACCATTAGTGAGATCATGATAGCGTGATACCTCTAAAGTTATTTACAAATTCTTAAAATAAATGTTGTTTATCTACCTAAAATAATTGTAGAGCAAAAAATAATGATGATTTTTAAATTTTAGAGTTATGCAAATTAAAGAAAAATATTTTACAAAAACTCAAAAATAATGTATAGTTATAAATTTTAGAAAAATGAAAAAAATATTATAAGAACCAAATTCAAAATCGCTCATTTTAAATGGATTAAAACATATTTTAGTCGGTTAGTTTTTAATTTTAAAAAAGCATAATACCACTACGTATAACAATGACACTTTCAACTACAATCACCAATAATTATCATTGTAATGGTTTCTGTCGTAATTATCATTGACATCATCATCATCATTGTTATTGCCACTACTACTGACATCATTCATACCATTATCATTGATAATGTCACTGGTGTCATTATTATTGTCACCACCAACATTATCATTATTATTGTCATCACTAACACCAACAATATCATCACCATCAATATTAACATTATCACTATCATCACTATTATTATCATCTTTATCATCACTTTCATCATAACTACTACAAATACCCTATCAAAATTAATACTACTATCATCATTATCGATAATATTATCATTATTACCAATACATTATCACTAGTGTTAACATTATTACCATCATCGCTAGCACTGCCATCACTACACAAACATACACATCCTTAAATTAATTTTAAAATGATATATTAAAAAAAAACTAAAATTGGAAAAAAAAACTAAAACTAAAAATAGATAGTAATTTTTTAAAAAAAATTAAAACTTAAAACTCAAAGCTATTTCAAATATATCTAACTATTTTAATTAACTTATTTTTTATATTTAAAATTAAAAACATTATAAAATATATTACTAGTATATATTCCACGTTAAAAGAATATATTTGCCTATAAAATTCCAATGTTGTTATTTGATTGTAGAACACACTTCTTTATTAGCAAGGTTGACCTGTAACAAACTACTAAAAAATAAACAAAATTCCAGACAACAAAAGCCTGAAATTAATATTCATTTCACAATAAATTTAAAACTTGTCATTCAATAAACGATTAAAATTTCAATTTCTAATATATTAACATTGAATTACTTTAAGTGGCAATGTGATCAATTGGTGGTCGAGAAATATTAGCCATGTACCCTTTAACATAATTGTTTTAAATGATTTTTTTAATTGGTTGAAATTTATTAAAAATATATAATTCAATGGATTTTACAGTTTATTTAATGAATGTCTCTTTCCTAATTTATAATTTTAATAAATTTTATCAAATAAAAATAAATATATTAGACAGTATATTGTTAGCCTCATCGATGCTATGGGAGGGGAGGTATTGCATGACTACTACACAGAATTGGTACTTCTTTGCTTTGGGGTTTAAATAGTAAAAAAAAAAAAAAAAAAACAAGGGTTGCAAATTAACAGTTCCCTTTCTTCTCAGGAGTTGCTAGAAGACTTAAGTTATTATGGATCCAAGGCTTTGCCTACAAAATAGCGACCACTTTTGGAAAAAAAAAATAGTAAATAATTCAGTTGGCCCTTTTCTTTCCTGTTTCTACATTCTTACATTTAATATTTAATGACAACTTTAAGAAACATACACTGGAAATCAGAAATTGAGGAAAAATATAAGAAGAAATAGAAAATGCTTGGTCAACGTCAACCATTACAGAAACACATGCACAATCAATTTAATGTGTTTAAAGGAGAATACGATCATAAGAATGATCATTAATCATTCAAAAATGCTTGCATTATAATAGTATTTTAATATTTTTAACGAACTCCCTATAGTTAATTATTTTAAAAAAATTTAAAAAGTCATAATTAACACTCATGAAATAGAAAATGATATATATAATATATTCACATAATTTCATAATAATTCTGAAAAAGTTTTAATAAAGTAACAAAAGTGTTTCGAAATTTGTATTAAAAACATTACTACAATTTCTCTTAATAAATTATTCGGTCATTCGACTCATTCCCTAGTCCATGTCAAATAATGGGATACATAAATGAAAGAAGAGTCATGCTAGATTTTGCAGCAAACAAAACAAGATAAAACAAGACAACATGCTAGCATGTCATGTGTGCTCTATTTTGTGCTTCCCACGTTTGTCCCAACCTAATAACATAATCAAAATATCAAAGTCTTCCTCTCTCTATATATATACACTACTCACAATGTCACACAGAACAAAGTCCTTCCTCATTTATTGGTTGGAAACCTCACCAATTTGGGTGTCATTAATTAACACAAAAAGAGAGAATATGTCCAACTCTTCCCTCCCATCTCTTCTTCTTTTGGTTCTTTTCATCATTTCAACCTCAGCCCAACCTTATGAAAACTATGATGATAAGCCAACCCTTTCCTCTAGAAGTGAGTCTGTCTACTCTCTCAAAGTCCCAACATTGGATGAAACCACCTTCGATAATCTCCTATCCTTTGGTTACTACCGTAAAAGCTGTCCCAAATTTGAATCCATTCTACACAACAAAGTGAAACAATGGATTCAAAAGGACTACACATTAGCAGCTAGTCTCTTGAGACTCCACTTCCATGATTGCTCTGTCAGGGTACGTATCAAGTATTGCTCACTATGAGACTATATGTGTCCATTGGTTTCTTATTTTTGTAGAATTAATTTTTAATTGCAAATTTAATTTAGGCATAATTTCACTATTTGCTATCATGTTGTATGATTTAAAGAATTTTGTCACCAAATTTTTTAAATCTCGCATTTTATCACTTAATTTTTTAATTTAAATTTTTTTATACATATTTTCTCATTTTGTATGTTGATTTGATTGATGATTACTAACATAATATGTTGATCGTTGATGTAATGTATTGATTATTAACATAGATTGTTGATATGTCACATCAACAATCAATATATTATGTCAATAATTAATTAATAAAAATAATTAATTAATTAATGAAGTGATAAAATATACGAAGGTAACAAAATATACTAGTGGTTGGGTGGGGAGAGCTTGGATTAGTTAGAAGTATGAGGACCTAGGTTCAATCTTCATTGCGATCATCTTTGTAATCTTTTCTATCTTTATCAAAAAAAATAAAATAAAATAACAAAATGTACAATCTCAAAAGTTTAATGTTAAAATTTGCAAAATTGTGAAACAATTAATATTAACAAAAAAAAAAAGTGTAATTGAACTTTAATTTTATTACTTTTGAAGAATAAATATAAACATATTTTTGGATTTATTATAGAAGAACCTATTCTTCTTACATAAAGACACCAAAATTTTTCACTTAATTTCGAAAGAAAAAAAGTTGTGAAACAAAATCTATATCTTGGCTATCCAAATGTGGGTTATAATTTTGCACTATATTAATTTGGGGTGTGATCTCTTCATGTAGGGATGTGATGGGTCCATTCTGTTGAAGCATGATGGAAGTGAGAGGACAGCACAAGCTAGCAAGACACTAAGAGGGTTTGAAGTGGTGGATGATATCAAGGCAGAGTTAGAGAAAGAATGCCCCAAGACGGTGTCTTGTGCTGACATTCTCACGGCTGCTGCAAGGGATGCCACGGTTCAGTTAGGTGGGCCTTATTGGGCCGTTCCTTATGGTAGGAAAGATGGGAAGCTTTCAATTGCTAAGGAAGCTGAAATGGTGCCTATGGGCCATGAGAACATCACTTCCTTGATTGAGTTTTACCAATCCAGGGGTTTGACTGTGCTTGACTTGGTTGTTCTCTCAGGTAAATAAATTAAATCAAGCATTTCTAAGTTGAATTTAATTAGAATGTACTAACATTGTATTCTCTTATGAATTATAGATTCTTAATTTTTCTAGTAATTATTTTTAAATTCATATCTAAAAGAATTTCTATTTGTTTCATGGGACAAATTTTTATTTTTATTTTTTATAATTAAAAGATATAACTTCTTCTCATTGGTCGACTGAGTAAAATAATATTTTTAATTACAATCACATGTTCAAGGCAGAAATTAAATTCTGATCATTGATTAAGTAGTAGAAATATTTAAATATTTGTACCAATAATTCTTGATAAAAAATCTTTAGATTAACATTATTTTTTATAAGTTAAATTGGTATAGTTTGTTTTTATGTACAATGAAATTTGAACTTATAATCTCTTATAAACTACCTAAACATTTCACCACTAGAGTCATTCCAATGAATTTAAGATTGGATGCAATATTACTCAACTTGCTCCAAAATGTTCCTCTAATGCTTTTCTTTATATCTGTGTGATGATTATGTTCAGGGGCTCATACAATTGGAAGGACTTCATGTGGCTCCATTCAATATAGGCTATACAACTACCAAGGAACTGGAAAACCAGACCCAACCCTAGATCCCAAATATGTTAACTTTTTGCAAAGAAAGTGCAGATGGGCCTCAGAGTATGTGGATCTTGATGCTACAACACCAAAGACCTTTGACAATGTGTACTATATTAATCTAAAGAAGAAAATGGGGTTGTTATCAACTGATCAATTGTTATATTCTGATCAAAGAACTTCTCCTCTTGTTTCTGCATTGGCCTCGTCGCGCACTATCTTTGAGCACCAATTTGCGGTGGCGATGGGAAAGCTTGGCATTGTTGATGTTCTCACGGACCAAGATGAAGGAGAAATCAGGACCAACTGCAATTTTGTCAATGCTTATTGATTAAACTCTATGTTTGCTTCATCCAATGATTTTTAATCTGTACTTTGCACAATTGCATTTGTTACTCCCCACTTTCTTCTTGATGCTAATGCTTTGCAATTGTTGCATCAATTAATCTGCACTTTTGCTTATGTTATCTTTTCTTTTTCTTCTCATTGACTTTTTCTTCTTCTTTAATCCTAGCATGTTTTTAAATAAATGATGTTGCTCATACATTATTTTTTAGATATTTTTTTTTAATTTAATTAAGAAAGAGAAAAGAGGAAATGTTTGAATAAAATAGATAATGTGATAGAAATGTAAAAAATGGTTTATAATATATAAAAAGAGGAGGGTTTACTTACTCTAAGAGTAAGTTTACTTAAATTTATTTTGTTTAATAATTCATGTTTTACATCAAATTTTAATGATTCAACTATTAAATTAAAAATTCTTAATGCATGAATTAAATCTATCAATTTTTAAAAATTTAAAAATTATTTGATACTTTGTTTTATTAATTCAAATTAATAGATAATCATAAAAATATTTTATACATTGATTTGAATTAATGAAACAAAATATTAAATAGTTTTCATCAATTCTTTTTTTAAAATTTGTAAACTTGATCCATGTATTTAAAACTTTTAACAATTTAATGTAGAACATGAATTATTGAATAAAATAAATTTAAATAGATTTACTCATAAAATAAGTGGATCTTTTTCATATAAAAACATATTGAAAAAAAAATTGTTGTAAGTATATGCTATTGTTCTAATTTTGAATTGAGATTTGACGAGGTTAGTTGGTTAGGAATATTGGATAAAGATTAGACTGATTGGTTAATTATAAATGAGTGAAGTTACTGCTAGAGGTCATATAAACCAGTCACAATTTTAACAAATAAAAAATACATGTAATAACCTCTTTAATTAATTAAGTAATTTATATAGAACTCCAAATTGTGGTAAGTATTATAGTTGGGTTTACTTCTTATTATCTTAATGAAGATATAAATGTTTTATCATTGTTGAGTAAAATTAATTTTGTCTTTAAATTTTGTTTGATTGAAATTGGTATATATAAATAAAAGGAGGGATCTAGTTTTCCAAGATTAAGTATCAAATTTTAACATTTCAACACTATTAAATTAAAAGTTCATAATGTATAAAATAAGTTTGCAAATTTTAAAAATTTTTGAAAACTATTTGATAGTCTATTTCATGAATTTAAATTGATGGATAATCATAAAAATATTATATATATTGATTTTTATTAATAAAATAGAATATCAAATAATTTTTAAATTGTTCAAAAAATTGCAAACTTGATCTATATATTGAATAATTTTAATTCAATGATTGAATCGTTAAAATTAAATGTAGAATATGAATTATTAAATAAAGTAAGTTTAAGTAAACTTATTTTTTAAGTAAATGAATCACTATATATATAGAATTGTCAAAACCAGCCACCCGACCCACCACGGGTTAACCATCATTTGGTGGGTCAACCCAACCCGGCTCATTTATTAGTGAGCTCAAAAAAATTGAACCTGGCTGGTTGGTGAGGGGCTCGTTGTGTTGAGGTGGGTGAGGGGTTGACTACGTTGCGGTGAGGCGTGAGGGACTATGAAATTCAAATGTTGAAAGTTGAAACCCTATCGTAACCTATCTAAACATTGGGCTGAAACCTGAAAGTGAAAATTGCAAATTGCAAAGGATGAAAAACAGATCCTATCTCATGTTGGGTTGCACTGTGGCCCAATAATTGTTGCATTTTTTTAATCACAGGTTGGTGAGCTGGGCACCAACTCGACTCATCACAGGTTCAACCCAGGTGAGCCGGGTTGTTAGTGAGTCGTGTTCAAAATTGGCTCATACTGAAATATTCAATATTTTTCAACCCAACCCGACTTGAACCCATGGTGGGCCAGATTGACTTACCGGTCATAGTCTACTTTGACAACTCTACTCATATAAATATATATAAAGGAAAGATTCACTCATTTCAAGAGTAGGTAGACTTATTCTACTTAATAATTCATGTTTTACATTAAATTTAAATAATTATTATTATCAATTTGATACATTTTATTTACCTAATGCACCTGCTCGAATTAGTTTCTTTTGAATTTTAAAATAAAATTAGTTTCTTTTGAATTTTAAAATAATGTATAGGCAAAATAGAGTTTTCCATCACGTGCAATCCCACAAATGTTAAGTTTTATTATTACACTAATTAAATTAATTAGTTTATTAATTATCTTCTCTCAATAATAACAACTAATTAATTGTATTTCCTTTCTTCTATTTTCTATTATTTCACTATTTTATAACTTGTATTTTGACTTGCACAGTGTTCGGGCAAATGTTTATTTTATGCAAAAAAAAATATAATAAACAAATTATTTTTAAATATATAAATTATATTATATATCTGATAAATATTCCAAGAACAATTTCAAATTAATCGACATAAAAATATAGTTTTATATGACTTGAAGCTACTATTTTGAAGAAATTCTCAATAATCAATTTCATCTATTTTACTCCCACATAACATAATTACTCAAAATTAACCTAGTGCATGTTTGGAAAAACGTTAATTTTCTCACTTTCAATTGTTTTTTCACAAAAGAAAGTTGTTGACAACATAAATTATATGTTTAAGGTAACAACTTAAATTTGAAACAATTTTTTTTCTAAACAACCTTTTAAGAAGTTGAAAATTTAAAACAAATGATAATTTCTAAATAACCTTTTTTTTCTTTCTTCTTTTGAACTAATTTACTATATGAAAAACAATTGTCTTATTCTAAACCAAAATTAAACATCTTTAATATTATTTTTCAGCAAATTTATCTAAACAAGATTTCATTCTAATTATAATCGATTATAGAATAATTAATTATTCACACAATCAATTATTTAAATAAGTTAATTTTCACAATTTTTTGAAACACCCATAGTCAGGCCAACTTGGTCATCTTGTCATGGTTGATCAAGCCATACCTAACTTAACTTGCTACAATTAGGTTAATCTAGTCATGTTGGGGTTAGGAAGAGTGGAAGAGTGAAAGCATCACACAACACACTCCGTAATATTGATAACAATTTTCTCTCACTTACCTCTTATTCCGATCATATAAATATGGACTTGTGACATAGGTTATCATGCCTTCTCAATGTTCACATTGTTTCTCTATTTATTTTCTTGTTGATTTGAACATTCAAGTATATGCAAGTAATTTTCACTGTTATCACCTCAATGGCTTGGACATTATTAAGTTGTACATAGTCGATACATGAAGTAACTTTTGTATTCCCTATCAAAATATATTATAATGAATTTATAATAGATAAGTTTTAAATATAAAAATATATTTTAATGTATATACATATATAATTATTTTTCTTATTCATCATTTATTTTATAAATATTAAAATTTAATTTAGAAAAAATAATAATAAAAGATTGAAAGGCATATGATGCTAACAAATTAAATTTGAAACAATTTTTTTTTTCTTGAGAGATCAATTGTTTTTAAGAAGTTGAAAATTTAAAACTTATGATATTTCTAAACAACTTTTTTTTCTCTTAAACTAATTTACTATATGAAAACCAATTGTCTTGTTGTATCTAAACAAAAATTAAACATCTTTAGATTAATTTTCAGCAAACTTATTCAAACAAGATTTCATTTTAATTTAATCGATTATAGAATAATTAATTATTCATATAATCAATTATTGAAATAAGTTAATTTTCACAATTTTTGAAACACAGTACCCATAGTCATATATAGGCCAACTTGGTCATCTTGTCAAGGTTGATCAAGTCACACCTAACTTGACTTGGCCACAATTAGGTTAACCTAATCATGTTGGGACTAAGAAGCGAAAGTCTCACACAATACACTTCGTAATAAACTATCAATGCTTAGTAACAATTTTCTCTCTCTTACCTCTTATTCTGGTCATATAAATATGGACTCATGCCATAGGTTATCATGTCTTCTCAATGCTCACATTGTTTCTCTATTTATTTTCTTGTTGATTTGAACGTTCGAGTATTTGCAAGTGATTTTAACTATTATCACCTCAATCGCTTGGGCATTATTAAGTTATTATTCCCTACGAGAACATATTATAATGAATTTATAATAAATAAATTTCAAATATAAATTATATTTTAATGTATGATATATAATTATTTTTCTTATTCATCATTTATTTTATAATATATTAAAATTTAATTTAGAAAAAAAATAATAAAATAGATTGAAAGGTATATGATGTTAACAACAATCCTGAAAAATACTTTGTTAAAATTTCTTATTATTTCTTTTTTATTTTACTTCATATAAGAAATATACATCAGTTATAAATGTGTAAACTAATTAAAAATTAAGTAAATGAATAAGAATAAAATCAACAAACAAAAAATAATGTTATCTTAAATCTTAAAAATGATTTATAAATAAAAGAATCTCTAATGAAAAACTCATAATTAAAAAGGAACATATATATATATATATA